TACCACGTTTTTCTTCATATAGTCCAGCTTCTTGGATTATTTGCTCAGCATATAGATTGAATAAGTGTGGAGAAAGAATACAACCCTGATGCACTCCCTTCTTGAGGAAGGGAGGAAAACATTGAGCAGGTAGCTAGGATGACTTTGTTTCTAATTTTAACCAACTCTACCTTTGACTTACTATGTAACCTTGAGTATCACTCAGCAGCTATGGAACTCAGTTTCCCCATCTACATATTTAGATACAGACGATAAATTGATTATTTTAAAAAAAACCAAAAAACTATGACCACAACAACTTTCAGAGCCACTCTGAGAGAAGATTTTGATGTAGTTAATAAACCTTCTTGGCTAGCCTCCCCTCCCCACCTCTCCCTTCTATATCTCCTTCTTGCCCCTGGGGATCCTCCATCTCATAGAGGGAGAGGTGAGGCAGGATGGAGGAAGGGGGGCAGAGGGAAACATGGAAAATAGGAGGTGCAATCATACTTGTGGAACCCCTGTAGGCAGGCAGTTTGGCCAGGCTCCAGCTCAGAGACAGTGGTAGAGATCTTCATAGACTCATTATGCGCAATGAAGAGATAAGGATGTGCAGCTATGACAGAGCTCAAAAACATGTGCTTTGCCTCCAATCTGGTGCTATCTGTTAGAATCAGTGCCAGGCCTTCCTGCAACACTTAATTTCAGTAACCAGCACCATCATAAAAGAAAACTCACCCTTTCATCTACTTCCTGAATCAATGGCCTACCAAACTCTTTTGGGGGCACTCTGGGTCTCCCAGTTCTGAAAACAAAGTGTCTGATAGCCTAAGAGTCCAGTGGATGTGAGTCTGGGTTTTTTTTTTTTTTTTTAAATAATCTCACATATGATTCTTCTGTTACACTGGCTCACAGACGTTTTACTCTTTCATCCATTGGGTGTGAGGTACTGACAATTACCCCTAGATAAGACAATCCTAAGCAAACCAAGTTGAAAGACAGTAAAAGAGAGTTCTTTCTCAATAAATGTGCTAAAATTTCAGCTGAGTTGGGCTGGTGGGTCTCAGAAAGGGCAGAGCTGGAATGATGGGGAAAGGAGATCTATCCACAACTCCCATTACCTCTAGCAACATTTCTCAGACTCTCTCAAGGGGCTAAGAAGCTCAAATTAAAAAATAAAGTCGTCCCAATTCAAAACAATCCCTTTTCACAGATGTTGAGTAAAAAAGGTTGGAGCCTTTCCAGGCAACTGGGTGTTGGCTGTGGACTTGGGAGATGAGATAGAGAGACTTCTGTTGGATCCCATTGACTTCTAATGTGAGAACCGGAGGCAAATTGGATGAAAACCTGATTTCCCTTGTACTTGTGAAAACCCAACCAAACCCACAGCCTGCCTGGAATAAGGAAGATTGTTTCCAGGGTCTCTCTGGCAATTCTTCTCACGCAAGTGGAATATTTCTCTAGGCTCTACCTGGAATGGACTGATCCTGGGGACATGGGCCATGACACAGTGCTGGGCTCTGTCAGAGCAATGGATAATCCTGCCCACCTAATAGACAAGCTTTGTTGATTCAGGATTTCTCCACCCACTGAGCTATATGAAGATGTCACACAGAATCTTGGGAAGTGACCAGGGAGGTAAAAAGGTATCATGTGTGATTATCTTCTCTAATCCCAGTGAACTCCCTGACACTACCTGCTTTAGAAAGCAGTAAACTCTCACTGGAAGGTGAGAGCCCCTTCTGAGGAGGTAGAAGCCATTTAGACATTCCATCCTTGGTTTTATATCCCAGTCAGGAGGTGTAGGGGCAAGTGTTCACCTTTCCATTTTGTAAAGGCCCAAGGAGCTTCTGAGATGGTATAGAGTTACATAGTAAGACGCTGAGAAAACTAAGACAAGGGAATGGTCTCTGGACCCTCCCCTGGTGCGCTTCCTACAGCAATATAAAATGTCCCAGGAATTGGGAATAGAATAAACCATAAGTGATGGTAAAGGTGATGTGCTGACCCAAAGGTACACTTCTGCAGTGGGGTCATGGAATAGAGCGTGGAAGGGCTGGGGTTCTCACTTTTTTCCCTTTCTCTAGTGGCGTTTTCACATGCCCTCTCAGGGGGAAAACAACCCAACACTAATGAATATATCACTGGTGATGGAAATGATCAAAGCTGTTGTCCCAGTTGCATAACTCGTTTGTGGAAAGTGTTTCATAAACATTTCACAAGAAGGAGGATTTCAAAGCATGAACGTCTCCCAACCTGCCTTCAATTACAGGCAAGGGTTTTTTTTTTTTTTTTTTTTCTTTTTCCCTTTCTCCACCCCACCCCCATCCCATACTTCTCCCTAGCTGTGAGGAAGAGTTTCTGTTTTGTAACTGATCTATAAAGGGTTGGCAAATATGTTACTCATGAAAACATAGGACAAATACATTCCAAGTGGTAGAATAGGGCAGGCAGGTAACTCATTTCGGGTGAACAAGGCTGAAAATTCCCCAAAAGATGGTGGCTGTGTTTTTGTTTGGAGCGTATTCCTCTTTCTGTGACTCTTGGCTACTCCCCATAAGCCAAGGGCCACAACACACTTCAATGCCTCTGGAAAGAGCCTAGGGAGATGGCATCATCCAAACCCTGCCTCCATTTAGACCTATGCTA